AGGCGAAAGGCCCGGAATCTCCTCCTCCTCCCTCGGCTTCCTCGCCCCCTTCCCCTCTTCCGCGCCGGAGCCTCCTGGCCTCCCTCCCTCCTTCCCCCACGGAGCCTCTCTGGGGGCGCCTCTGGATAGGCCGGGGGTCCCTGCCCTTCCTCTGGGAGGCTGAGGGAGGGAGAGCCCGAGAAGGGCGGCTGCGCGGAGGGAGCGGGAGGGAGGCGGAGGAAGGAGGGACATGAGCTGGGCGTCCAAGCGAGGCTCCCAGTCCTTGTCTTCCCACGGCTGTTTCTGAGGGGACTCCGGAGCCTTCCGAGGCCGCCTCTGCTCTCTGTGCAGCCCTCAGGGAGGCGGTTCCTGAGGGAGGCAAGTTCAGATCCACCCGAGAGGCTTTTTCCCTCCTTCTCCACCAACGGTTCCTGGACAGGAAGGAGAGGAAGGTGGAGAAAGAGCTGCCTCTGAATTCCTTGACAGGGAGCCACAGAGAGGGGCCTTTCCCCCTACTCCCAAGCCTATCATCCCCGTCCCCTCCCTTCCCCCTCCCATGCGCTCCTCTTTCCCGCCCTTTTTACCCTCCTGGCCCTTTGCCCCAAGTTCACCAGGGGGCACCCTCCACCAAGGGAAGGGAACTCCAGGCGCTTCCCCATTGGGCCACTGGAGGGCGAATGTCAAGGCTGTCTTCTCAGAGAAGGTGGGAAAGGAAGTGACATCATTGAGCCTTCCTTCTCTAGGACACTGCACTCGCTCTCCTGAACACCTGGGGACCCAAAGGAGGTGGTGAGGATGCGGGGGAGTCTGGTGAGGTGTGCCACGGGTGAGGGAGGGGGCTCCCCAGCTGCCCTCTGCCCAAGGGAGGGGGAGCCTGGCAGAGGCCCAGCTGGAGAGGGGAGAAGCCGGGTGAGGAGGAGGAGGCAGGTTTCGCATCGGGCTCTCTGAGGGCACTATCCTGTCTCTGGAGGGGGAGAGAAGCATGGGGTCCTCTCCAGCTGCCTCCTTCCCAGCCCCGCTTGGGTGGGTCTGGGCCCTGTGCTGGGATGAGCCGCTTGGGGCTGTGGGCAGGTTGGGGAACCGGGTCCAGGGGCTGAATCCCCCTGTCTAATCCTGGGCATTGGTTTTTCTCTCCCTCCCAGATCCGGAACCTCAAAGCCCTCGGCAGCCTTTGCAAGCCAGAATTTCCTCGGAGGAGGAAGGAAGGAACAGCAGGGATCCATCCTGCGGTCCCAGAAATGGTCCCGTGAAGGAAGAGGCCCCTGGAATACCCCCAGAGTCCCTGGAGCCCTTTGGAGTTGCTCTGCCGGAGAGGAAGGATGGAGACATCCACTTTGGCCAAGGAGGGGAGCAGAAAAGGCCTCACGACTCTTCAGCCTGGGAGCTGTGGGGAGAGCTGGACCAGAACCGGGCAGAAGGTCCTGCAGGAGGGAACCATCCTCTCTTCAGAAGTTCCACACTGGACCTCCTTCCAATACCGGGAGGCTGGGGGTCCCCAAGGACTTTGCAGCCAACTCCATGACTTGTGCAGGCAATGGCTGAGCCCAGGAAAGCGCAGCAAAGCCCAGATGCTGGACCTGGTGGTTCTGGAGCGGCTCCTGGCTCTCCTGCCCCCAGAGATGGAGGGCTGGGTGAGGGAGTGTGGAGCAGAGAGCAGCTCCCAGGCGGTGGCCCTGGCGGAAGGCTTCCTCCTGAGCCAGCAGAAGGAGCAGCTCCAGCGGCAGGTGGGAGACTTTAGGGAGCTCGGAAGGGAATAAACAGAGTGCTTCAATGCTTCACTCCTCCTTCCCAAACTTCTCCCACGTTCACAATATGTGGCAATTCTCTAGTTGTTGTAGAACATTGTTCCATTGTTTTCTCACTCAGCCACATTGATGGATATTGGGAGCTTTGAGGTTGTGTTCCGAATATAAGAATCCACTTTATGTCATGTTAATTTTGCTTCTTTTTTCCTTCCTCCTATATGAAGTGCTACTCTGTGCAGATCAGATATCCTGAGGGAAAAAAGAAGCCATCAAATCCCCCTCAGGAGCTTTTTTTCAGGAAGATCCCTTGGGAAGATCCAAGTCAGGACACCTCAGGAGGTAATGGAAGATCCTCCGATTACCCATCTGTCTTCCCTTCCCTCTCTCTTCTCCCCTTTGGAATACCTCCTCCTATTTTGTTAATTATGCATTTTGAAATTATTCCTTACAGAGAAACAAATAATGAAGATTTCTGGTTCTTATGATGGCAATCAAACAGCTGTTGAACCTCCAAATCAAGTAAGAAAGGGAAAAGATATTAGATTTCTATTCTCCCTTTAGGAAATGAAGCAGGTGTGCAGAGTGCTCTGTTCTTCTGTTTCCCCCCCTTATTTGGCCTGGATTATTTTTGTGTTCTTCCACAACATGGAAAGCAGAACAGCAGGTTCAAGTTGCTGTTGGCCAGCATAGCTTTCTCTGGTTATCTTGTTCTGCTAGGCTCTCCTCCATCTTGTAGTTTGTTAGAAGTAGTTTTTAAAAAACAGGAATAAACAGTGGCAGGAACTGCTAGAGACCCAATTTTTTTTTGTAATTCTTTGACTCGCAATTGTGCAACACTGATGAAAAATAAATAAATAGATTGCCACATTACCATTTTAAAAAACCCTTAAAAACCAGAGTCTGCACAAAACCATACGGGCTGCTGCATTTTGCACCAACTGGCGCCTCCAGATGCTCTTTAAGGGCAGCCCCATGTGGAGCGCATTGCAATCGTCAAAACAGGAAGTGACTAGGGCATGAGTGACTCTGAGGAAAGACCGTTGGTCCCAGAAAGGACGTAACTGGCACACAACCTGAAGTTGCGCAGAGGCCCTCCTGGCCACTTCCGCCACCTGCTCTTCGAGCAGGAGTTGTGAGTCCAAGAAAACCCCTAGATTACACACAAAGTCTGTTTAGGGTAGTGCCACCCCATCCAAGACTAAAGGTGACAATTCTACCTGAGTCAACGAACTCCAAACCCAGAGTCACTTGGTCTTGCAAGGGTTTTGTTTCAACCAGTTGCTCCCCAACTAGCCCCTAACAACCTCCAGGCACTGTGAGAGGGGGGACATGGCATCCCTTAACTCACTACGGTCCGAGACATACTGCTGAGTATCATCAGCATATTGGTGATACCTCAGTCCATGGTGACAGATGATCTCATCCAGCGACTTCATATAAATGTTGAACAGGAGCGGAGAGAATACCAAGCCCTGCGGAACCCCATAAAGCAGTGGGTGAGGGCTGGATCTCTTCCCTCCTGTGAACACTGAGAGCAGCCACAGAGGAAAGATGTGAACCAAGATAGCACAAAGCCTCCCATTCCCATCCCCCGAAGCCGCCCCAGGAGAATCCCATGTTCTGTGGTAATGAAATTACTTCACTGAAAGGTACTGAAGGTTTTGCAGAATCAATGAACTTGATAAAACTTCCCCAAATATTTCTTCAGTGAAAGCAATTTTTCAGATTTGCCAATTTTCTCACCTAAAATTAGAACTTGTGTGACCCACAGCCATTTAATTTAGTGCACATCTTTGCTTTGGGAACAATGGAATAGAATAACAGAGTTGATAGGGATCTTGGAGGTCTTCTAGTCCAACCCCCTGCTCAGACAGGAAGCTCTACAACATTTCAGATAAATGGCTGTCCAGTTTCTTCATAAACACCTCCAGTGTTGGAGCACCCACAATTCCTGGAGGGAAGTCATTCCACTGATTAATTGTTCTCACTGTCTAGAAATTTTTCTTTAGTTGCAGGTTGGTTCTCTCCTTGAATAGTTTCCATCCATTGCTTCTTGGAACTCTGCTATCATGTCTCCTGTTGTGGAGCGGCGGAGATACGAGGCAGACTCAGAGCGTTCGTTTTCAAAGGCTTTATTCAGAGAATAAAGGGTTGCCGTGGCTGCCTAGGCTAACGAGGCAGATCAGCTGGCGGCAACAGCTGATGCCGTTTGACAGCTCCTTATATAGCCAGCTGTCAAACGGCATCAACCAATGGGAGCGATCGGTGCTCCCGCCAGAACGTCGGACCTGACTGGGGACTGCAGTCAGTCTATGGACATAACATCTCCCCTAGTCCTTCTTTTCATGAAACTAGACATCCCCAATTCCAGCAACCGTTTTTTATGTTTTAGCCTCTGGTCCAACTAATAATTTTTGTTGCTCTTCTCTGCACTCTTTCTAGAGTCTCAAGATCTTTTTTACACCTGACAACTAAAACTGGGTGTAATATTCCAAGTGTGGCCTTACCAAGGCATTATCAAGCGGTACCGTGTTTCTCCAACAATTCGGCCTCCACCAATAGGAAGCCCCACCATGTTTTATTGGCATAAAATCAAATTAAGCCACTCCCCCCAAATTAAGGCCCATATTAAACACGCGAAATGGGGGTGGGAATGGCAGGGGGAGGGCTTGCCATTAGGAAGTACTTTTGTTGCATGTGCAGATATGGTGCTGCCTGCGTTGGTGGGGCACTTCATATCGGGAGACCTTCCGCCACCGTTGCTTTCCCTTCTTCCTTGTTGCCTCAGCATTTAGCGCAGCCATGTGCGGCCAGCCAGGGCTCCTCCCTGCAACCGGAGCCCTGCGGAGACACTTGGCTTCAAGCACTCCTGTCGCCACCTTCCCTTTGCCTTCGAAGGTAAAGCCAATTCTTTTAAAAACTACACCCTACTACAACAAAGCTTCCCCTGCCCAACCCCACATGGGGAGGCGAATCTCCTGGGGCCACAGCGCAGGATCGGCCCACCCCGGGAGAAGCACCGAGCCTCCATCCCTGCCTGGCATCGGGCAGAGCGTGAAGAGCTTCGCCTGGGGCGCCCAGCGCAGCTGACAGGCGGGCCCTCCTTCCCGGCGGCAGAGCTCTCACCAAGGCAGCAAGCGCCTCCCCGCCGGCCCTCCGCTCTTCCCCCCAGGGCCACGCCGGAGCTGTGCGGGCTGGGCAGAGCTGGGAAAGCGAGCTGCAGGTGCACGCCCGCCTGCCAAGTGAAAGAGTCAGGCCAACCCGAGCTTGGCTTCCTTCCCAAGTCCCTCCAGCCCGAACCCGAAGGAGCCACTGGGAGAGGCTGCCTGAGGCAGTAATAGCGTCCGTCCATCCATGGACAGGGAGGCAAGGCAATGGCCTGTGCCGCGTCCTCCGAGCTGAGCCCCGTCGAGTCAGCGCCTCTGCCTGATGCCCATTCCGCTGCAGTGTTTGGAGCTGCCGGCGCATTTGGAGATGTGTGGGGACGGGGACGGGTTGGGCGAGGGGTGGAAAGGATGGGGGGTTTCGGGCTCTCTCCACCAGCCAGGGAAGCAGCGCTGCCATCGCCTCGCCTCCGTGGACGGGTGGGTGCTATCACTGCCTCGGGCAGCCTCTCCCGGTGGCACCTTTGGGTTCGCTCTGGAGGGGCTTGGGAAGGAAGCCAAGCTCAGGTTGGCCCGGCTCTTTTGCTTGGCAGGCGGGCGCGCACCCACGGCTCGCTTTCCTGGCTCTGTCCAGCCTGCACGGCTCTGGCGCGGCCCTGGTGGGATGAGCAGACGGTCCGGCGGGGAGGCACTCGCTGCCTTGGTGAGAGCTCTGCTGCCGGGAAGGAAGGCCCGCCTGTCAGCTGCGCTGGGCGCCCCAGGTGAAGCTCTTCGCGCTCTGCCCGGCGCCACGCAGGGATGGCAGCTGGGCACTTCTCCCGAGATGGGCCGATCCTGCGCTGCGGCCTTGGGAGATTCGCCTCCCCACATGGGGTTGGGCTGCCCTCTCGGGCAGGGGAGGCTTTGTTGTAGTAGGGTGTTGTTTTTAAAATAATTGGCTTTACCTTCGAAGGCGGTAAAGGGAAGGTGGTGACAGGAGCGCCTGAAGCCAAGTGTCTCCGCAGGGCTCCGGGTGCAGGGAGGAGCCCTGACTGGCCGCACGTGGCTGCGCGAAACGCCGCAGCGTTGCTCTAACGCTGCGGTAGCAAGGGAGAAGGGAAAGCAATGATGGCAGAAGGTCTCCCAATAGAAAGTGCCCCACCAACGCCGAGGTCAACATCCAAACTGTTGCCGCCCGCCCACCCGAGGATGCAAGGGGGGGGGAATTAAGTCACCCCCGAAAAGATGGCCTAGCTGTCTTTTGGGGGGTCAAAAAAAAATAAGGCCCGGCCTTATTTTGTGAGAAACACTGTACTAACACTTCATGTCAGCTGGTGCTCCATTCAAAGTCCAAGAAAGAAATACTTAGACTCCATTAATCAGAGAAAAGGTATCTTACTGGAAATCAAGTGGTAGCAACAAAAGAATTCTGAATCTGAGAAAATGGGCGCGTAAATCACATATACAAAGTAATGGCAACGTTCCCACTCCAAATAGTTCAATTGGTTCATCCAATTAAAAGTTGTGTATATCATCATGTGGTCATCTCCAGGTGATGATGAGGCCTCTGTCTGTTGACCTTGACATATTTTGATAAAGAGTTGCAGCTGTGCATAGCATAATATGGAAGCCTAAGCAAGAATCTATCCCCCCAGCTAATACAGTTCTGTTTTGTAACACCTCCAGCTCACTTCCCAAAACCAAATCCCCCCTCCTCCTCCTCATTACTTATGACAGCTGAACGATGCAAAGCAAAGGGAGAAAATCTTGAAGGCTGACACTTCATGTCATCTTGATTCTATCCCTCTTAATGCAGCCTATCATTGTGTTGGGTTTTTTTTGGGGAAACTGAAACATATTGCTGACTCATGTTTCAGTGGTTGTCCACTAGGACTAGACTCCAAGATCCCTGTTGCACTGACTACTGTGTAGCCAGGTATCACCTATCCTATGCAAGTGCGTTTGTTTTTTTCTTTTCTAAATATAGAACCTTATATTTCTCAGGCCCAATCTGTCGATCCTTCTGTATCTCGAGGTTATCTTCTAGAGCAGGGGTCCCCAACCACCGGTCCCCGGACCGGTACCGGTCCATGGAACAATTTCTACTGGGCCGCCGGTTTGCTGGGCGCCACCATCTTGTTTTGATGAAAAAGTGCTTCCGGTGAGCTTTTCTGGGTAGAAAGCGGCGTTTGAGTGCTGAAAGAATCCTCGCGCCTTAGTTTCATTGAAAGGGGGGGGGCTTCGAACAAAACTAAGGCACGAGGATTCTTTCAGCACGCATCGCAAGGCGAGTCGAGCGACCGTCCCAAAGCTGTCGCGAAGCCCACCGACACAGGTACAAAGGAGGAGTTGAAGGTGGCGGGGAGAAGCGGAGGAGGGCTGGCTGGCCGGTTGCTCGGCTCGCCTTGTCATGCGTGCTGATGCCGGTACCGGGCCGCGGATGATTTTGTGATGCCGGTACTGGGCCGTGGCACAAAAAAGGTTGGGGGCCACTGTTCTAGAGTGTTGGTATTCTTGTCAACTCGGTCTTGTCTGCAAATTTGATGAGTTCCCCTTCTATCCTCTTGTCTAAATCAATGATGAACAGATCTTGCAAATCCTCCTGTTCTGTTCTTTTTTCCACGTCCAGGAGGGTCTTGTGTCCTTTGATGAGGTGGCTGTGTATTTCTCTGAGGAGGAATGGTCTCAGCTGGATCCTGACCAGAAAGCACTGCATTCAGAAGTCATGCTTGAAAACCATAGGAACGTGGTCTCTCTGGGTAAGTTTTCTAGTCCCTAACCAGAGAGTTCAAGAAGAGAGATTATAGTTAGTTTTTTATTAAAAAACCAATAATCAGATATTGTCTCCTGGGAGGGAGAAGGAAAGGATCTGGCCTTGTTGTGCTCCATGGAAGGAAAGAGTCAATGTCTCTTTGCTTGGATTCTTTCTCTGCCATTTCTTATCTGTATTTTTCCATTTCTATTTAAACTTCTCTGTGGAGGCTGAAAAGAACGAGGTGTGCTTTTATGTGTCTTCTGGAGGTCGTGTGAGAGGAGTGTGTTGTCATTTGTCCTCTGGAACCTCCCTAAATTGTGTGAGAACAGAACTTTCACGCTCAGCCCATGGAAGAGCATTCTCCCAATCCAATTCAAAAACAAAGGCCTCATGCAGTGTGACTCAGAGTATCCTAGGATACAAGTAATCCCCAAGTTATGACAGTTCACTTAGCGATCATTCCAAGTTATGACCAGCCCTCCTCCAGTATTTGAGACCCAGTCCCCTCTTTCTTTTCAAAGACTTTTTACCTGGATCTCATGAAGTCCTCAGTTCTTAAAAGAACACAGGCCTAAAGTACTGCAGTGCGAGATCACACCAGATTAGTAGCCTGAGATCTTGCACTATTGATCTTTTTTTTTTTTTGGTAAGTTTTATTGGTTTTTAAAAACAAACATAAACAAACAGAACATAAAAACATTAAACTTTCTTCCATAAGTATACAAGCAGTGTGCCAGTTGGTTTACAAATTATTTTGTGCATCCATTTCGTAGTCTTCAGTTACAGTTACATTGCATAATAGCTCATAGCATCAATCAAAAATTGAATACCCTAGTATCATTATTAATCAATCATTTGACTATAGTTTTATTCATTCATATTTTACGAGATAACCATAGTTTACTTAGTTTATTTTATAACAATTCATATTATCCTCCCAAATCTATCCTAAAAGCATTTTGTAGATGTAATAAAAGGAAGTACATCTTTATATATTTATTATTTTCTAAAAATCTACATATTTCATTACTGCATTTTATTATCTAGCCATTGATAGAAAAGGTCCCAAATTTTATGAAATTGTTTATCCTCTTCTCTAATTTGAAATGTCAATCTACTCATTTCAGCACATTCCAATATTTTCTTAATGATTTCCTCTTGCGATGGTATTTGTCATTTTTCCAGTTTTTAGCAAATACAATCCTAGCCGCTGTTAATACATTTACAATCAAGTATTTCAAATCTTTGCTATATGTATCAGGTAAAATTCCCAGTAAAAATATCTCTGGTTTCAGATCTATATATTTTGTCATTTTTTTCCAACCACATGTGGATTTTAGTCCAGTATTTTCTAGCGTCCGCACAAGTCCACCACATATGGCAATATGAGCCAGGTGTCTGATGACATTTCCAACATTTTTCGGATTTATTCTTGAACATTCTTGCTATTCTTGTCGGGGGGGAAATCCCACCTGTTAAAAGATCTTATACAAATTTTCTTTATAAGCTGTTGACATTGTCATTTTATAATTTTGAGACCACAGTTTTTGCCATTTCTCTAAATCAATCCCATATCCAAAGTTCTTCCCCCAAGCAATCATAGTTTCTTTAACTTGTTCTTCTTCTAATTTAGTTTCTAATAAATATCCATACAGTTTTTTAATCACCTTTTCATCAGTACCTGTCAAAATCTTATCTAGATCAGTCAATTTATCATAGAAATCTTCTGTTTTAAAATCTTTATCATACCTTGAATGTATTTGCGCATATGAAAACCAATTCATCTTTATACCTTCTTCCTCTAGTTTTTGCATAGATTTAAGTTCACCCTTTTCATTCAATATTTCCCCATATCTAACTGTTTGTTCCTTCTTGTATATTATAGGATAGGAAAATGCTTCAATAGTCGATAACCAGACTGGAATTTTCAAATAACATTGTCTTTTAATCTTCTCCTAATTTAACCACAAAGATTCCCGTATATGATGTCTTCTAAAATACCCCTGTATTTTAGTTCCCTTGTACCATAAAAATGCGTGCCACCCCAACAACAAATCATGTCCTTCTAATGTCAACAATCTAGTATTTCTTAATGTTATCCATTCCTTGACCCACATCAAATTTGTAGCTTGGTAGTACAACATTTGTAGCTTGGTAGTACAACAAAGTAAACGACCTTTGTGATCATATCAAGAGCAATTGCGTTCTCTTCGCTGATGATGTAAAGCTGTTCAATACCACAGACAATACTACTACCCTTCAAAAAGATCTAGACTATGTATCTGAATGGTCTAACATATGGCAACTCCAAATCTCAACAAATAAATGCTATGTCTTACATATTGGTAAAAAAAATCAGAAAATAAAATACAAGCTGAATAGTCAAGATCTTGTTGATGACCCAAGCTCTGTAAAGGACCTGGGAATACTCACCTCTAATGATCTAAGTGCTAGAGCTCACTGCAACTACATAGCCAAAAAGGCATTAAGAGTTGTTAACCTAATCCTACGTTGCTTTTTCTCTGGTAATATCTCACTACTAACCAGAGCATACAAAACATTTGCTAGACCAATACTCGAATACAGTTCATCAGTCTGGAATCCTTATCACGTATGTGATATTAACACAATTGAGAAAGTCCAGAAGTATTTCACAAGAAGAGTTCTCCACTCTTCTACCCGTTATAGAATACCTTACGCCACCAGACTCGAAATTCTAAAACTAGAAAACCTCGAATTACGCCGTCTTCGGTCCGACTTAAGCATGGTATATAAAATCATACATTGCAATGTCCTACCTGTCAATGAATACTTCAGCTTTAACCATAACAACACAAGAGCACACAACAGATACAAACTCAAAGTAAACCGCACCAAACTTGATTGCAGGAAATACGACTTCAGCAATAGAGTGGTCAATGTCTGGAATACTCTACCCGACTCTGTAGTCTCTTCCCCAAACCCCAAAAACTTTAACCTTAGACTGTCTACTATTGACCTCACCCCTTTCCTACCCTGTTTCTCCAACAATATGGCCTCCCCCAATAGGAAGTCCCAGCATGTTTTATAGGCATGAAATGAAATTAAGCCCCTCCCCCCAAATTAAGGCCTATATTAAAACATGCGAAATGGGGGGAATGGTGGGGGGGGGGCTTGCCGTTAGGAAGTACTTTTGTTGCACACCCGGATATAGTGCTGCCTGCGTTGACCCCGATACGAAGTGCCCCACCAATGCCGAAGTCAACATCCAAGCCATCGCCGCCCGCCCGCCCAAAGATGCAAGGGGGGGGAATTAAGTCACTCCCCAAAAAGATGGCCTAGCCATTTTTTCGGGGCTCAAAAAAAAGTAAGACCCGGCCTTATTATATGAGAAACACGGTAAGAGGTCTGTAGGGGGCGTGCATAAGCGCACCAACGTGCCTACCGTCCCTGTCCTATTGTTTCTCTTATTCTTTTATTTTTCTTATATGTACCCATTTCATATATTCACAACTATGTATACACTTGTACTTATTATCTTGTAAACAATTGACAAATCAAATAAATAAATAAAATAAATAAACTCCCAATTAGGCAAACCAAATCCTCCTCTAATTCTAGCATCTTGCAAAAGTTTTAACTTTATTCTCGCTTTCTTACCTTGCCATATATATATCAAGACAATTTTATTTAAATCTTCAAAATAGTCTTTTCCAAGCCTAATTGGAATTGTTTGAAACAAATATAAAATTCTGGGTAATATATTCATCTTGATTGTTGAGATTCTCCCTATTAGTGACAGTTGTAAATTTTCCCATTTCGCCAAGTCTAGCGCTGTCTGCTGTTTAAGTTTAATATAATTATTCTCTTTTAATGTACTACATCTTGCTGTCAAATGTATCCCCAAATACTTGATCTTATTTGTGACTTGAATTTTCAGGAGATCTGCCAATTCTTCCTTTTGTCTTGATAACATATTCTTTGTCAAAATCTTTGTCTTATCTTTGTTTATTTTCAAACCAGCCACCTTGCAATATACCTCTATCTTTTCCAATAATTTTGGTGCTGTTTCTAAAGGGTCTTCTAAGATAAAAACCAAATCATCCGCAAAGGCTTGCAGTTTAAATTCTTCCTTTTTAATTTTCATTCCTTTTATACTCCTTTCATCTCTAATATTTCTGTTTAACACTTCCAAAGTTAATACAAATAGCAAAGGTGATAGTGGGCACCCTTGTCTTGTTCCTTTTCTTATGTTAATAGAGTCTGTCAGTTCTCCCTCTATCATTATCTTTGCCGTTTGCTTGTAGTATATAGCTTCTATTGCTTGAATAAGTTTTCTGGCAAACCCCATCTGTTCCAACAATAATAACATGAATCGCCAATTCACATTATCAAATCTCTTTTGTGCATCTAAAAATATCAAAGCCATTTGTTTTTCAGGATGTGCCTCATAGTATTCCAAGGTATCCAAAATTACTCTCATATTATCTTTAATTTGTCTCTTTGGTAAAAAATCAATTTTGATCAGAATGAATAAAGTTATTTAAATATTTTTTAAGTCTTTCTGCCAATATTGAAGCAAAAATTTTGTAATCTGCATTTAGTAGAGAAATAGGTCTATAGTTCTTAATTTGCAATGGATCAGCCTCCTCTTTTGGAATAAGTGTGATATAGGCTTCTGACCATGATTTGGGTATCTTCTTTAACATAACTTCATTCATAACTTCTAGCAATGGAAGATTCAATAATTCTTGTAATGTTTTATAAAATTCGGGAGTCCACCTGGGCCTGGTGCCTTTCCATTATTTTGCTTCTTAAGTGCTTCAATTAACTCCATGATAGTTATATTGCTCTCTAACATTTTTTCAGTCTCTTCAAGTGTCTTAGGTAAATTAGCATTCTGTAAATACTGCTTAACTCTTTCCTCATCAATATTTTCTTGCTTATATAATTTCCCATAAAAATCTTGAATGATTTCCTTCTTCTCTTTACTGCCATGGCAAACTTGGCCTTGATCATCTATTAACTGCAATATTTTCCTTGATTCTTTCTCCTTTCTCAATTTATATGCTAACCATCTACCTGGTTTGTTTGCATCTTCAAAGTAGTTCTGTTTAGCACCTCTAATTTTCTGTACTAATTCTTCTTTCTCTATTTGACCCATTTTGTATTCAATTATATCCATTTTTAGCTTAATGTCCTTTTCCTGTGACGTTTTCTGTAGCTCTTTTTCAAGTCTTTTATGCTGATCCTCTAGAGCCTTAGTGGTTTTTCTTTTCCTAGTATTCCTTTTCCTTGTATAATCTATTATCAAGCCTTTAGCAAATGCCTTCATTGTATCCCATACATTCTGAATTGATGTATCTTCTTTTTTATTTTCTCTAAAGAAAAAGGCCAATTCTTTCTCCATCTGCTGTGTAAAGTCTTTTTCCTTTAAAATAGTATTGTTTAACGTCCATCTCAATCTTCTTTTTTGTCCTTTCCATTTAATTGTCATTGGATTGTGGTTTGCCCAAGTTCTTGTTTCAATATTTATTTCTTGAATATTAGATATTAGTTCTGTTGACATCCATATCATATCTATTCTGGACCATGATAAATGTCTATTTGAATAGAAGGTGTATTGTTTAGT